CATTCATCTATTTTATCTTCTCATGGTTGTAGACCAATTTGCTGTTCTGTTTGACAGGTGAATAAAGAGTTATTTCACTGATACACAAACCTCTTCCCCCAAGTCCACTCCACTACGCAGCTTTCATGCTGGACTCTTGTCGTGACAATAATACCTAATCATATATTCCTCCTAAACAGTACTCTCCCTCTTCTGTTTCAATGCAGTAGACATTATTTATCCATTCTTAGTTTTTCCCCAACTCCGATGTCAGTCCCGCTTTATAACACGCACCATGCAGTATTTGTCCCTTTGTGACTGAGATATTTCACTCAGCATCATATCCTCCAGGGTCACCCATTTTGTATAATATTGCGTGGGTTCCTTATTTTTCAGCACAGCATGATATTCCATTATAAACCACAGCTTCTCTATCCATTCGTTGGTTGATGGGCACTTGGGTTGTTTCCAGCTCCTTGCTATTGTGAACAAAGCCGTGATAAACATGGGTGTGCGTTACTTCCAACTGTTTAAGAAAGCGCCGTACTGCTTTTCATAGACCATTTTACCCTGACACCAGCAGTGAATGAGGCTTCCAGTTTCTCATCAGCTTCACCAGCATTTGTTGTTTGCATCCCAAAGATTTTTTATAGTTTCTTTTAAGACAACCTTTTAAACCTTCAATTAATTTTGTTGAGTACATTTATATGTAATATATAAGTCAAGCGACATTCAAAGTAATTTATGGTCTGTATTTGACATTTATAACATTTTCTTTTTTTTTTTTAATTTTTGACAATGCATTTATTTGTCCACATGAATAAATTAACACAATGGTACAAAAATGAACACAATCTTCTCATGACTACACAAGCTTTCATTTTTTTGTCTAGCTATGGCTAGTACCACTATCCAGTTGTGCCTCTGAGTTTAACTCAGACTGTGTCTTTACACACTGGGCTAAAAAGACTCATGGCTTTTGTTTTAATATTGCACTTCTTAAGACATTTATAACATTTTCATGGTTTGCCCTCAGGTGTGTTGTAAACTTTGGGGTTACCCACAAAACATGGTATGGACTGGTCCACTGGAGTACCTAAAAGGTGGTAAGCTTTTTCTTGGTGCTTAATGAATTGTTTTTTTATACTACATTTTATAACTTGAGTGCTAGGTATGCTTCCTTACATACTGGGCTGATATTTAAAGGTATCAGGCATTATGTATGCTGTCTTACTCAGATCTACAATCAATATCTATGATACTAACAGTCAGGATGTCACCAAGTTGTGCCAAGAAATCTGGAGAACAACCACTTGATCTACTGACTGGAAGCGATCTATGTTTGTTCCCATTCTGAACAAGGGTGACCCAGCTGAGTGTGTAAACTACAGAACAAT